CCTTCACAAAGTTGTAGTCTATCTAGGATATCTGCAAACCTAGTGGCATCTTTAGTTAGAAAGGTGACCACAACACGAAAAATCCAGTAAATGCATCAATATTGTACAATTTTCTGGACTTCTGGGAACATGGTTGTTCGATTGAGATTGTTCTGAGGTAATGTTCTCACTTTTGATATCTAAATTGATAGGTTGGAAACGAAGATTTGCGTCGTTTCGACAGTGTGCATTCTTGTGCTCACCTCACAGGACAATTTTAGATTAGCATGCTGAAGAAGCTCAGTTAAGGTTTCGAGAAAAGCTTAGCTCTAAGGTCTACAACCCGCATTATTTCGATCCCCCACCGCTACGAACCGCAACCATCAGTGCCATAATGGCGAAATCAAATAGGCACAATACCATGGTTTATAGTCTCCATGTATTGAGTTAGAGATCGTCGAGAACTCTATAATCAACTTTATCGCCGAAGAACCTACGTATAGCTATTAGTTCAGAAAACTACAAAAATAATAAAACAAATAAACAATCAATATTTTATAATCTAAACAAATACATGTACATCACACGAGCTATTTGAGGTGAAGTGGTTGGGTATTAATTGTCATTTAAGGGGCTCCAGCCGCAGCATAGACCCTAACTTTAGCAAAGGCCTTAGCCGCAGCAAGGTCCGCAGCAGGAGCCGCACAGGCCGCTGGTGCAACCACCGATGCATCCGTGACCACAGCTGTAGAACGAACCCGCGACACCACCGCGCGCTCTGTCAGAAAAAAAGTAAATAAAATTTTAATCTCTTAAATATTTATAAAAAAAATTATTTAGAAGGCTTCCTGTCTTATAATATGGGAGACAACGAAGATATTCTTACCCGTGGATACATCCAATTTGTCCGCAAGGGCCGGAGCAGTCAGCGCCGAATGAGTGCACGCAACAAGGCCCCACCTGACTCAAGTTATCGCAGCGGTACGCGCGGGGCCCGCAGGGACCTGCCATGGAGCCCTGGCACCCAAGACAGCAATTACGCACTGGCATCTTGATACTGAAACGATACAAGGATTTAAATACAAAAAACCCGACCCAACATTTAAATACTACAATACAAGGAGTTAAACAGCCATGAAACTTTTACTTAATACAAAGTAACACTAATATTATAATTAAATGTCCGGTCCGGTCCTATCTCCGGACAAAGACGACTCGTTGAAATCTTTTGTGTCAGTAATAAATGTACGGATTATTATACATAAGCGACATTATAAAATGTGAAAGCGTGGGCTTGCAATGGACGCTATTTATAGCCGCGAGCAATCTGTTAATTGTATAAAATGATTTTAATACCTACAGTTCTATTGAACTTAATATAAGCTACGGAACGGATTTGTTAGTATTAATGATGATTGAGAATTACGGTGAAGGCGATGCGATTGCATGACGTGAATTTTTGTGGCAAGAGACGAGCTGTTTCTTTTACAAAGTTGTAAATGGTTTAATGTGGAATGCAGAGTAAATTGGAGAAAATCCTTTAAACAATGATACTTCTCTACAGGTTTTCATAAGCTAGATATTATTGAAAATAAGAAGAAAGAATCATACCTTTATGTGAAACAGCTGAATAATACGAAATAATATAATGAAGATATTTTCAAGGAATCCTTTTCTTGTATCAAAATATTTTTTTTTATTTTTATTACTTTTATTTATGTAAATTAATGTATTTGTGTAATGTAATGTAAATGTAAAGATTGAATAAAAATTTCACGTTTCGCCGAAAATAATTTTATTTTATGACAATTTTTTTGTTTTTTGATTATGTCATCAATAAAAAAAACTTAAGACAAACATAAAATAGGTTTTATATAGAGATTTGTTTGAAAAACCTCTTTAATTCTACATCAAAAGTCATTACTAATAGAGAAAAAATATTAGCGATTTGACAAAACATCAAACCGTCAGATTCACTAAACTTTAGCCAAATATTTTTGTATAAAAAATAAAAATTACAAAAAAACACTGGTTTTATCAATTTTATTAACTGGTTTTGCCAATACATATTAAATTGAATATTTAAGATGCCATGTTCATCGTGCGGAGTGCCGTGTTGCGGCCAGGTGGCCGGGTACTCATACCCCGCGCCGTTCTGTGGCCCCTGCTGTGGAGTCTGCGTTGGCCCCTGTGGGAAACCTTTTGGCACTTATAGCTGGCGCTACCGTCCTGGCTGCTGTCCTTGATTTATAACATCGTCTATAAATTTCTGCTGTTCATTTATTATTATCTATGAAAAATAAATGTATTTGTGCCTTCAGTCTTTATTTCTATCTCTCTTTGTGGTTTTACATTTCGATATTAGTATGTCTTAGCAAAATTATGATCCGATACAGAAGGCATTAAAAAGGGCAGAGGTCCACTATGACTGGCCAGTAGCGGCGTTTGGGGAGAACGAAGTTAGGCGACCGCCTAAGGCTCCCAGGCGCCGCGAAGGCGTAAGAGGTGCAGCAGGCACCAACGTCTGATGCAAAGAAGCGTCTATGGTGCGCTCTAAGAAACCTTATCTTTGGAAGATTTTTCCCGGCAAAAAAAGGAGGTGCCGTAAAAACCGCGCTACAAATGCTAAAACCGGCCCTGTGACTGGGTTAGAATAAGTATGAACGTAGAAAGTATATACATATTGATGGGGACTTCTTCGTCTGGTCACTGGTCGGCGTTGGGCTATCTGCAGTTTCGATACACTTGTTTGGACTGACCAAATACAAACTGTCGTATGCCGACTGTCAAGCAGGCGGTACCGTATTCCAGTCCGTATATGGCCGTACTGAGATATAGTAGCAACGTAAGTATATGCCTTCACTTCCGGTGCAATAAACCCAGTCTGCGAAGCTATATTGAATAAGTAGATGGTAGACAATGATATTATACAATTGCAAATTTCGGCAGCAATCGTATGCAAATCACGGTCGTTGACATTTAAATTGATTCGTACGGTTATAAAGACATACAATAAATTAATAAAAAAAGTAGTGAACATGATTGCATATCGCACGCCTCGCACCGTCACTTCCGGTGCTATCAGATAGTGACGTAACGGGGCGTCACTTCCGGCGCCGCGGGCGATATTACGTGAAACCGTTTTTAAGATTCCTTTGGCATCGCCGCCTCCAGTGTGGAACTTTAATTAATTATCGCTGTCCAGCTGCCTGTGTTTTAAACAGTTCTATGGTTAATGTGTCAAGAGCGTCGGTGGCTCAGGGGTCAAGCACTTTACTTGCAATCTGCAGGTCCTGGGTTCGAATCCCGACATGTACCAATGTGTTTTTCTATTTCCGATTTACATATATACATTTATCCGACGTTCTTAAGGTGAAGGAAAACATCGTGATGCAACCTGCACATATCTGAGTAGAAATTCAAAGATATGTGTAAAGTCAACCAACCCGCACTTGGCCAGCGTGGTTAACTATGGCCTAATCACCCCTAACTTAGGGTTGACTCCAAGCCCCTCAGTGGGACGTATAGTGAACTGATGATGATTGTTAATGTGAGCTTTTAATACTATCATATTGACAACCCTACAATTGGCTCGATAAAAAGAAACTCTTTTTCAGTTTTAATACTTATGTACAAAGTACTATCTATTGCCTACATTAAGGAATAGAATTATACATAGATAATGTTCCTATTACTGTTTTTAATTAAAAGACTAGAACTAATTAATTAAATAGATAAATTCAAGGAAGCAGACACTTTTTCTATTTTAAGTTCTTAGTATTTAATAAATAAAACATTGAAGCATAAAATTGTTGTATATTTAATACACAGTATGAGAACTCTGTTAGTTTCGTCGAAATTTTGCTTTGCTGTTATTAATTTAACAGACCAATACAAAATGCTCCTTGTTTATACAACGCCTGGGAAGGCCAGGACGGTCAATTTATACTGGATTGTATGAAACAAGGGTAAGATTTCAAAGAACAACGAGCAAAGGGGTCAAGGGTGTGTCTTCTACGAATGTATTCCCGCATTACGTTTCGGTTGAAGCAGACATCTATGAATATAATTACATATTATAATCTATTTGGTTTGAAGTTTTCGTTTTAAAATGGCTGTGTTTCGCATAACGTACAACTATTATAATTATCTTCTTAACTGAAAAGAAGCAATATTAACCGAAATATATTTGATTTCTAACATTGAATGTCCGAGTGACTGATGCCTAGTCGACTATCAAAATTGCTAGAGGCTAAATAGAGGGAGATATAAACTAAGGCGCAAAAGATGAAAACTGTTACTGTCGGCGGCCAAGACCGTGTCGTGTGTGTCGTGTCGATGATCCAATGTAGTTGATTAGAAAGAAAACTACATGTTAAAGGTTACAAGACAAGTTTATTAGACTTGGTTACAATGTCAGTGCCAATTGTAGCAGGGTCCCACTGGAGAGCAGCAACAGCCCCGCGCGCAGGGCTCGCAGCCGCAACACCGCGGCATCGGCCGGTCACATCCGCCGGGACACCGCGCGAACGTTCCGATGTTGAAGTCACGATAACAACCAAATTGATACGGCATATTTAAGTATATATTTTCTTCTCTTGAATTGATGAAGGTGAGGAGAAAGTGAGTATTTGTATATATTTTTTTTATGTTATTTTATATTTTTATACAAAACTTAAGATTTTTTTATGATTTTCATAGGTTTTTTGACAATGATTGATAGCGTTTTGACAATCTGATTCATAGAAGAAAAGAAGTTTAAAAGTTTATATCGGCCAGTATTAATATTTTTAAAAACATCTTCTCCCACCATAAGATTCTAAACGACATGGTTCTGTATCTCCATCGTAGCCACGGATAAATTACACGTTTCGTCCTGCTAATATCAATAAAAAACTTTTCTAAATACTGATACTTCAATGAACTACTCTGTTTTATAACCTCTTTGGTAATGAATAATTATTATTTAAAAAATAAAAATAAAGAATTCCAAAAACAATTTAAATAAATTTTCACAATTCAATCACATTACAAACACAACAGCACGACACATCGTGTCTCACATTGTTTTTATATAAAAATTAATTTAAAAAATCGAAAAAAAAAACAAAAAATTACTTCGCAAGTTTCATCTTTCATGATATAAAATGCCTGTTTACTACGGAGGTTTTGTAGGCGGTCCGCAAGGGGGCGGCTACTGCCTGTACGCCACAACATGCAACCCTAGCATGCCGGGTTGCGGCCCCTGCTGCCAGAGCTCCTGTTAAACTGAGGTATTTATTGTACACAAAACACTCTTGACATTGTCAAATAATAAATCGAGGATCTGGTCAAAAGATACATTTGTCTAAAGGGTTGTAAAAGTCCAATGCTAAACAAATAGGCCATTGACTATGAATGCTTAGTGGAATCATAGCATAAGTACGCCAGCGTATCTTATCAAATGGTTCCTCTGTTACCCTCTTATCGTGTAAAGAACCACTCTTATTTTGAATTAATGTTAAATTGTTTTCCAGATAACGTCAAGATGAAAGTAAGCTGCAGGAGTGATGGCACGGCGGCGCTGACAGACCTTCGTAACTCATTCTGTTCCAATTCTGATATTTTGTACAATGAATAAACCAATCTACCTATAAAATATTTACTTTCATTCAAATGTTCCCAATACATTGACATGCATTCAATGCTATTTCATCGTAGCACGGCCTTGTGTGATCAGCGATATAGTTAGCTAGGGAAGCTAGTCCTAAAGGGACTCCTTTTAATAATATATTTTAGTAAATTATTCGTTTAATATTTTATTTTATATCATAGATTTAAGACTATTCATTAGATTCTGTGTTAGTTTATAACTAATGCAATTTTTAACAATAAAGACACCGTTAGCTATTTATAGACATCAAATGTGCGATACCTCCATATTAAAAGTTGGGAATATAGGGCGTCGAACTCATTGCTTGCGGATTAGTTATCACGACTGATCGATTCGATGGTATATATGAAATTGTGCCATCACACATTTCTACAATTCTATAGGGTAGTTGTCTGCTCATCCAGTTAATCAAGATACTTTGGGAAAAGCTTTTTGCATACCGATTATATAATAGTGTACCGTAGGGAAAAAAAGCAGGAAAAGGGCAGAGAAGTGCAATCAAAAACCATGACTTGAGGAGCCTTGTGTCCTTATACCCTTTGGCCTCAAATGGACCACTGACCACACCACAGGTGGCGGTCGTGAGGTACCCCGCTGCATCTGTATGAATTTGTATCAGGACACTACTGAAGCGAGTGCCACACGTGTGCCTCGCGTTCCAACAAAACTTATGAGAAACCATGTGAACTGATAATCGCTGGTCACCGGTGGCTGTGGTCGTAGACCATCGTAGAAACTTATTTCAGTTTCATCTGGAACAGACTAGTATCTAGCAATAAACGCAAGAAGTTTTGAAGTCTTTAGGACGAAATAATCTTGTGGCTGCGTACTACATATTAGGTACATAAACCCGTGAATGCTTAGGACAAAGTCAATGAAAAGCAGAAATATTTGTAAACTTTAAGCTTTATTTTCAATTCCATACATTACTGATTATCAACGGTTTGAACGAGAAATTCACTGTTCGACGCCACAAAAGATGCCACTAGTCGCCGAAGCTAGAGTATGCCGTCGCCCCGTAGATGATGAGGGGCGAGCGGCTCTCCGGTGGCCATGATCTTAGCAACAACGATAGTATCCACAGCATGGCGCGCAGCACGGCGCGCAGCAAGGTGAGCAACACGGAGAGCAGCAGGGAGAGCAGCAAGGGTAGCAAGGCATCTTTGCAGTTTTTGTAGTCTTCAGCAAAACTTCCGAAGAAACCGTACTTTATTGTACTTAATTTGAGAGGAATAAGAAACGATTTGTTTTACTTAATTAGCTTAATGTTGAAGGTTTGAAGTTTGATTTTTGTATGCCCATTGTTGTGAATTGCTTTATTAGGAAACCTCGGTATGCGCTGAGGCGTTCCATTCGCAGAACATTTCAAAATTCAATTTCACTAAATTCTTTCTTTCGAAAGAATTTACTTTGTACAAAAGAGTTTTCAAGTGTGTTTGATAAATTTTTCTTCTGCGAAAAATATATTAAATACTCCTTGATAGATATTTTAACAATTTAATGTAAAATTGCCGCTTTCTTATATATTTCGCCAAATAAGTGATATAAATTCTTTATTTTTATAACTAAAAGTAATAAGAAGTAATAACAATCAAGGCGAGCGAACATAGCCCTACACTATCCCACAAAATATTTTTGTGGTACACTTTACTACGAAACTATTTCTTTCACATTTATGCTTAGGTAGATTAAATTCATTTCTAGTTGTGTTCTCCATCCATTTGAATAAAATTAGTCCCACGGTTAATAAAAATCTTTAAATGGAAATGTAAAAAGTTGTTTGCAAAAAGTGGTGTAAGTAATTACTAGTATCAATTGCATAAACCGGGCATAGGCAGCGTGTTTGTTTCTAACGCGAAAATTTACATAATCTGTTGGCGCGCGAAAAAAAGAATGCGACGTAGGGCTGGTAGTCATTAACTCGAATAAAGTCCTAAACACGACAAAACTCAAGTAACTGCCGTATTCTTGTTAAATGGTTATTCCAGTAATAAGGCTGCTTGTAAACGATGCGATGAGAGTTGCCTTTTACACTCTTTGTAAGTAATTTTGGGTAAATTAGTATCAACAACATTTCATATGCTTTCTAAAGCTAAGCTAAGCTAAAGCCGTTAATACAATTTTAACTTAGTTCTGTAATTTATCCAAAAATGCGAAATTAGAAAGAAAGCGGTTAATTCGATTCTCTTTTTCGTATTATTAGGAGGTAATAAATTATACCGGAAGAATGACAAAAAGCCACAATAACACCAATCAGCGACCTTTTTTCATGGAAGTGTCACCCCTAACGCAGGTAGTGGACCCAATTTTCTGTATCGTTGTCGAGGTGGTGCTGGGCAGGGGTTCACCGATTTCACGGAACATGCAATCAAAGTGGGAACGCTCGCTATTTCCGGTCACTTTATTAGGTTAGATCACGCATCGTGCGCAGAAACGATTCCTAAAACTGCGCCCGTGTCGGCTCGAGCATTTCCTTTGGGCTAGTTCCTATTACCTATTATGTTGGAATTGCATTACATTAAAATCGGTTGTAATTAACTCGCAAGTCATAATTTCCATCATGTTATTAACTACAAGCTTACTAGAACTTCGTAATAGTACCTAACGACGCCATTGCCTCGTGATGATAAGATGCTAGAAGTAATTTGTCTTATCAGTAAATGTAACTAGGAACTGCAACAATCTTACTTCGTAGTCGTAATCTTACTAATATTATATATGGGAAAGTTTAGATTGATAGATGGATGGATGTTTGTTTGAAGATATCTCCAGAACGGCTCCATGGATCTCGCTAAAATTTGGCACAGATTTAGAACATAGCCTGGAAGAACACAATAGCTACTAATTATGTTTTGTTTTAATTTCACACGGGCGGAGTCGCGGGCGAAAGCTAGTTATAAAAAAATCTCGTTATAAACCGACAGCTGGGTCGAAGCAGATGTCAGTTGTAGTGGGACATGTATATTGCAGGAACAGCACACACAATAAAAGCTTGGCAATATAGTAGTAGTTTGGAGAATCCATCATTTGATTCCCAAGCCCCCTCTGGTTCCGAGAAGCGCCGCCAGCTGCCGCAGGCTCGAACCCGGACCCGTGTCAAATTGATGTCGCCAACAAAAACAATGCTCACGACTGTTTCTTGTTGAATACAAAAAATACATGTTAGTGTGTGCAGTAGCAGAGGAATATTGATTTATTACATTTTATTGATTGATTTTCGAGGATTTTATCGTAGAAATATGGTTTTTGTCTTCTCGAGCGAACTCGGAGCGTTCCTAATTTGCGAAACAAATCGATCAATGGATTATCGCATAGAGGACAAATTGAAGGCAACATTAGAATAGTTTAAATATTTTAACAACGGAAAGGAACGAACAGGAAGGAGAAAATTAGTAAAAAGTGATTGCATTATTATTGATTTAGAATATATATAGTAATTTTAGAAGACTTATAATCGAATCGAGACAACTAACTTAGTAAATTTCCTAAAAGTCAGAGATGCTAGAAATCCATAATCTATGACTCTAAACTCCTGACGCCATATCACTCTTTTTACTTTTACTACAATCTGTTGCATGTGTTGCGAATTTTCGTAGTAACCAATTTAATCGTTTATAGTTCCAAGATGGCGTGAAATTTGACATTTCTGTGAAGTTGTGATTCGGTGAAAACGCGTCCATGCTCGTGTTTCTTAGTAGTGAGTCAGCTGACTACGGGGAACGGACACCTTATTAATATTGTTTGTCATTTTATTAACGAAGCTAGCACTTTCAGTCAAGATACAGGGAAACATAACCTCAATTTCGTACTTGGAATTCCTATAAACTATTCCTGTGTAAAGTTTCTTTTTGTTATTATTTGCATGTAGATTTTATAGACCGATAAGGATATCAGTGGGACTAATACGAATATTTCTATACAGCAAAAATCTCAAATTAATTTTGTCACATTTGACGTTGGTGATCGCTTGTCGTAAATATTCATGCCAAGCCCACTGATACGTAATAGTAATAAATGTGTACGAAAATCATCTCAAATAATTTGAACTTATGTGTTGCAATTTATCACAAATTTCATAAAAAACGGTTCAAACGATTCATTTGAAAAGAATCGATAAGTGGAACTGTAACAAAAGATATTAATCATCGAATTTCACGATACTTAGTCGCACTGAGTCACGTATTGAGGGGTTTGTTTGACTTACTGCCTCGAACAAAAGTTATTTGCTTTTATTGTTTGATACATTCTAAGATTAATATTTTGTAATAAAAAAAGGTAAAGAAAAGATATATATTACTAGCTGTCGCGAAATTAAATAAAGAACATAATTAGTGAGCCTATGTGTTCTATATGTATGCCAAACTTCATTGAGATCGGTTCAGCCGTTTCCATCCATCGAAACATTCGCATATAAATGATAAAATATTAGTAACATTATACTAATATTAGTTGTCGATCGCGACTCCGTCCGCACGGAATTAAAAAAAAACAATTAGTAGTCTGTGTTCTTCCATAATCCAGATTCATGCAGCCGTTTCGGAGATACATCCTTCTAACAAACATCCATCCATCCAAAAATTTGTATTTATAATATTAGTAAGATTAGTAAAATTATCTTGTGTCAATGTTTTTTTTCTATTAGTCATAGTTCTGGGACTAATTACAACGTTCGAGCGCTCTTGGAATGGAATGTCGGTTGCATTCAAATTTCTCAGTAAAATTGCCCATAAAAATAACAGTTTAAGAAGTTCGCGGTAAAACTGCTCATTCACTATCGATGCTGTAATGATATCGTACCGGACACTGATTTAGTCACCGATAGTCCGAAATACTTACTAAAATTCTTGTACAATGTAAAAAAAGATTGTTTATAACAATGTCAATTATAACAGTGAAATTAAACTGCTAAAATAGCATAAATCACACAAAAAAAAGAGAAATTTAACTTATACACGAATATGAATCTAAAAAAAATTAAGAACGTGATAAAAAGGTGGCCAGAATAATTATAAAATCATTTTGTTTTTCATAATCGTCGAAATTACATGAATAAGATATATTTTTGCGTGTTTTAAAACAAGAGACTTGATTTTACTAGTATAAACAGTTCATCTGTAGCGATTTAATGTAGACTAATGATACGATATTGCATAAATGTTTTAGCGAAGAGAATTAAAGATAATTATCGTATCTCTCTGCACCTCATTTTTATCAAACTTACTCTATATATCCTTTGCAAAATGCAAATTTGCTTTGTAATTGAATACAAAGTAAATGTATCGCATTATTATATTCTCAGAAAACAAATAACATCCTTTTAAACGATTTCTATGTAATTTTAATAATGTAAACATCCGTTGTAGACACGTTTACTGTGTAGCGAAATCATAACAACGCGAAAGACATTGACTTAAATAAAAATAATTAGTTATTGTTTAATTTGAAATAAATTAATTATTTTTGTAAAAAATAATTATGTTATTGTATTCTTAACGAAATAAATAAATGTTTTTTTTGCCAAAATACAATTATTTTTGGTTTCCATTATGCATAGTTAAAGTTGAATTTCTAGGGTCTGATTAGAGTAACAAGTTTTTTAAACTAAGAGTTTACGCAGTTCCACTATATTCTCCGAAATAAAATGAACCCTAAAATGAAAATAATTACAAAAAGCTACAAATGTTCTAGTAATATAACATTATTACTAGAACATTTGTAGCTTTTTTTTAATATTGTTCTAAATATTCTGGAATGAATCCAAACAATTCGAAATGTTCTTAGAATCAATGTGGTAATTAAAATTTATTTATGTTTCAAAGTTATGATGGTACTATAGTGGTGGTTGTTTTATTTTAGGTATAATATATTATCGTATTCATATTTCCCCTTAAAAATGATGCAATTACAAAAGTATAAATAGCATTAACTAAAAATACACCCTAAGCGTTTTGAATAGCAATGTTTCAATTAGAACAAATAATTTACTAGTTTAGGTTTGTAGGCGCAGCTATATCCGGAATAATTGGAATATAATGACCGTTTCGAACAAGCAATATCATTAATTCCAGGGAAATCGACCGATCACTGGAAACCGACGCGCGGACATATTTGTTGATAGAGTTAATTAATTTCCCTTTATGCAACGCGGCGGAAAAATTCTGTCAGTTGCCGTAATGCTGTAATTATTTCCGACGTTTCTGTGAATTCAAATTACCTAATGCTTTGTACCACTGGTTTACATCACATTTTTATTCATATTTTATTTATTTACTAGTTGTTACCCGCGACTCCATGCGCAGAGAATTAAATAAAATTTAATAAGTTGCTTATGTATTCTTCTAGGTTATGTTCTACATCTATGCCAAATTTCAGCGAGGTCTATACAGTCTTTCTGGAGATACCTTCTAACAAAGATCCATCCATCCATTCAAACAATCGCATTTATAATATTATAATAGTAAGATTGAATTGTTATCGAAATATTTACATATATATTTATTTATGTAAAATATTCTGATTTATCTCTAACGTACAAAAAGGGGTTTAGGGTTCCGCGGAACCACGTAAGTTCTTGCCACCAGAGCATAAGAGGCGGAGTGGTTAAGTACCTAACTTTTAATCTGTTGGTGCGGATTCAAACCTTGCCATGTGTTTTGCGATTTTCAAATTTCATTAATACCGCATTTCATTGACCAAAGACAACTGAATACTATAAAAAAGATCTTCATAGGAGTTTAAATAACACAACATAAATTATTTTTAATAATCCTTTATAAATTTAACAAGAATATATAACATAGTATCACGCAGTTTATTTAAGAAACTCTTCGTTTTTTCCTTAAAGGTATATCTTCGTTTAGATTGTTCTCATTATCAACCGACAGGGGAATTATTTCTGTGATCGCGTCATTTATGTCTTCTTCCTCGGCTGGAAAAAAATAATATCTTATTTTACTGTTTTCTTCATAGCTTAAAACATCAAATGATAAGTATTTTTAGTAAACTAGTAGACTATGAATAAATTAAAGATGGCCGCTATTACAAAATGGCCTATACAAAATTTATACTATCCAATATGGGTATCAAATTATAGAATTTGACTATTTGATATATTGTTACTTGTTAATTATTTACGTAGATTTACACACCAGTGTCAGTCTGCTCGTCACCAGCGCTGAGAACTTGCTGCAAGAGTGAGGCCTTTATCTTGAAGTCGCGCGCGATGCCCAAAGAGAAGTATTGTTGATAATCAACCTAAAGTACAAAATAACTAACATTAGAACAATAAATTAGCGTAGGTTTCCAGTTCTACGAATTATATACACTCACATAACCCTGTTAACCCAAAGGCACAGAAAAAAAAGCTTGTAGTAATTCCGATCAGGGCGCTAGTAGAGCTAAAACTGACACTTAACCTTAGCTTTGTTGGCAAGCAATGTCGCGTGCTTGTTGAATTGCTCTGCTTCAAGTACCAGGCGCGGCACGAGGCGGCTGTCACGACCACGCCGCGCACCCTGCTGCTGCTGGACCTGCTCCAAGTACGTGATGAGACAGTCCATCACTGATGATAGACGTTTGCCTGATATCTTCAGCAGACGGTCCAATCTAGAACGAAATATACTTACTACACTAGAGGTTGCAAATGATAGATGTATAGTACAGAAAAACTCTGTATGTACTGTTGTATATTAATAAGGTTAAACATTAATATTTTTGGAAGGGAAGAAATGAGAGGAGAAAGAGAGAGAGAGGTTTAGTTTGTAAATAGCTACATTACCTAAGCGCAATAGCTAGCTCGGGTTGTATATGTCGTACAAGGGTGGCGAGAAGCGCATACAGACGCACGCAGACAGCGAGCACGCGGTCGCCCCCCGCCGCCGCAGTACGCAGGCGCGCCACGCCCCCCGCCCACCCCGCCAGCTGGCAGAGCTGCACCACCACGCACTTGTACACCTCCTTCACCTCTGAAACATAACACACTTACTGTGAATTTCTAATGCCTAACATATTATCATCTCTTATTGAAATATACTGAGATAGCATTAATTTTTGTATAGTTACAAAAGTAATTTGAAATCAAACGACGACTAAACATGTACTATTGCGACTGATCAAATAAAAGAGCGTTTCAAATGGTATTATCTGTGTCATCATCATCATCATCAGTTCACTATACGTCTCCTCTGAGGGGATCGAAGCCTACCCAAGTTACTCATCATCTCATTTATGTATTATAGTATTATATAACGTCTTATTATTAGATAAACCTTTTTCAATCCTCGTATGATGAGGTGGAGTTGCAGTGTCCAGCGCACTGGACAGATCCCGGGCACGGGTCAGTAGATGTTCCACGCACTTGAACCTGTAGCCGAGATGCGCGCACACGTGGTTCAGAGCTATATGTCCAGTACGCGAGTCGATACTCGGGAATGTACCGGAATCTTCCACGTCCGATGAGTCTTCTTCCTATTGCAAATACAGTAACTTTCAGTTGGCACGTTAAACAGATCAGTACCCTTGTTTCCAATGTGCCAACTTAAATATATACTTTTGTATATAATGTAGCATGGAATAGCTCTATCACTTTCTAGTCCCTTGTTATTTAGAGACCAAATCTTCTGTTTCACTCACACATTGGTTGTACTAAAATAAAAATGTCACTAAAAGCCTTGTCACGTTTGTATGTACTGACATCAATCCTGCCGAGTGCAATAGCGAGCTTTTCCAGCAGGTCGTCCAGCAGCTGCGCCTCGTGCTGCTCGCGGCATGCGGCGGCCAGCAGCGGCACCAGCAGCTGCAGCCAGTCCTGCTTGCTGCGACGCACGTACTCCTCCATTTTTATTATAACCTGGAAACAGACAGCTGAAAAACTCGCCTACAGTTATTAAAGTGAGTTTCCATTGCATAACAATGTTGCCATCTCTCATTCTCTTCGATGAAAATAGAGATAGCAATATATTCAAATGTTAAGATATTATTTCGAACGTACGTTTAATTTCGATATCTACTAATATTATAAGTTTAGATGGAAAGATCCTTTCTTAAGGTATCTGCAGAAAAACTGTATTGATCTCGCTAAAATTTAGCATAGATGTAGAACATAGCGTGGAAAAATAGGCTAATATTTTTTTTATGGCACACGGAGTCGCGGGCGACAGCAGGATGTATAAAAATGATTTTATACATTTCAATATTATTATACTAACACGACTCATCTCCTGGCTGGGTTGCAATGGTGTCTCCAGCAGTAGCGTAGCGAGCTGGCACAAAGCTGATAGAATCTTCTTGCCTGTCGCGTCTGCATCTTCTGTGCCGTCTACATCGAACTGCGCAAGCGCAGTGTGCGTGTGCTCCAGGATATTAGCAATACTAGCCGCCACTGTTGTGTCTGTCAGTCCTGCTGTAATATACAACTATTTAAACCTCTTTTCCACTAACCACACTCTGTACTTGCTCTCAGTCGCGGCTGAATCAGTGAAAATTATATGTTTTTAACTTACTGATATTTGGTATGAGTGATTCTAATTTAGGCGAGTAGTTGCTCGACAAGGTCAAGGTCAGACAAGTTTTGAATACATCCAGACAACCCAGCGCTGTTTGCTCGTCAAAGTCACACAAGTCTTGAAATCTGGAAGATAAAGGTTAACTGTAAGTTTGTTTATTTTTTACTTATAATTGTAAAATTACTAATATATCTGTACTTTTTATCGTTTTTTTCTGAGACCAAAGTCTCTCTCATTGTCTTACTAATATAAATAAGAAAGTTTAGATGGATGGATGGATGTTCGTTTAAAGGTATCTCCAGAACGGCTGCATGGATCTCGCTGAAATTTTGCATAGACGTAAAACTTAACCTGGAAGAACACGTAGGCTCCTAATTAAGTTATTTTTTAATTCCATGCGGACGGAGTCGCGGGCGACAGCTAGTCTTTGATAAAGCAGGGATAATAATATGTTTTAAACAGAGATTTCGGTTTTAGGAACCAACCATTTATTCATCTATTGCGAAACAGATGGTGAACTTAATGACACCCTGTTTAACATACCTGATAACACATCTCCTATACAATAAAGCTGCTATTTTGATGACATGTGTGAGCGCATGTCGCGTGTGACCGCGCTCCGTGACTGCAGCCAGCACACCGCGCACCACCCACTGGTGGAAGTCACGACGTGCCCGGATCTGATTGCGCTGCTCCACTGATGACCATGGCACCTCCTCGCTGTAACACACATACGTGAGGATTTTGACGGAGAGGGGAACGAGCAGGGGAAATAATCTTTCTGTGGGTTCCCTCCTCCGTCGAATAATGGTTGGTAGCACTGCTATATGTCTATAACAGCGGTTGCTTCATTGTTGCCGCGAATTTCGATGGTTAATTGCTTATTTACCACCATTTAACAAAAAAAAACTTACTATATTTTATTAAGGAGAGAAGATATTACAAAGTGTCAACGAATGACACTCTTCTATAACAGTCGACCTAATTTTGATTTTTTTTTCACACGGGAAAAATACTTTCCTGCTAAATAAATATAAAAAAATATATAATTACCTGTACAACAAGACAAGAATCCTCAAACAAAACTTAAGGTCCCACAGACACGGTAAAGGTTTGAAAGGTCCAGCTCTGTCTTTCACCATGTTGGACAATTTAACACCTTTGCCTTTATCCTTCTGTGTTTTCTGACTCTTGTGAGATTTCGTTGTTTCTCCTGTTTCATTAAGTAATGATTTGGTATTCTTTTTAGATTGTTTTGATGGTGTCTGAAATGTAAAACGAATATACATTAATCTACAACAAAATCTTACTAATATAATAAACTAACTGTCGCCCGCGACTCCGCCCGCAAGGATAAATAAAAAAAACTTAATATATAAATAAGTTAAATAAAAAGCCGCTCTTCAACGCTTTCAAATTCGAAAAAAAGAATAAATAGTATCCTATGTCCGTCTCCTGGCTCTAAGCTACCTCCTCACCAATTCTCAACCATATCAGTAAAGCCGTTCTTGAGTGTAACTAACAAGACTTTCTTTTATATATATATATATAGCCAGGAAGAACACATAATCTATTAATCAAGTTCTTTTTTATATCCGCGCGGACGGACTAGCGGGCGAAAGCTATCTAAAACAAGAGACTAAACTCTTATATTGTCTATGGCTGTCTTTCTGAATATATTTTTTTCATTCAAAAAAATGACATAATTTTTGGGTTCCATTTCAACAAGGAGGAATATGACAAATGTGACACTGCATGATGACGTCATCTTCACAGCGTCATGTTATGTACCTTGGTGTGGTCCATCAGTTCGTTGCTGGCCTTATATAGCTTGTATAGGTTGGTGGGGGCGGTCCTGGTGGCGGGGCTCCACTGCATCACGAGGTGCGCCGCCAGCGCCCCGTAGCACTGCAGCGCTTGTTGCACTTTGATGCACTTCGCCTTCGACTCTGGTGTTAAATCTGATAGACCTACATCCTCCTGGATATAGAAATATGATTCTTAGTTAAATAATCTTATCTCTTAATATATCGTCATATCTTATAACATTTTTAATATTTTTAAGTAAAATAAAAAAAATCTCCATCCTTATATTGTTTCAAGTTCTGTCTAGTAAAGTTGCAAAACTAACATACAATTATTTACGTACGAATCATCACTAAAATGTTATAATATAAACTAGGTGTCGCCCGCGACTCCATCCGCGTGAATTAAAAAAAATCTTGAGATATATTTAAAAATCGTATCTACAATATTATTTGATTTAATAATTTTTACCAAACTGAATATTACCATATTAATATTAGCAATATTATCAGCAGTGCACAGTTTGTCCATGACAATGTTGAGTTTGCTCTTGAGATGTGCGCTGGCAGTCTCCAGCTCAGGGCTGGACAGTATGTCCTCCAGGTCCTCCTCCACCGGCTGCAGGAACTGCGCCACCAGGTACAACAGTCGCGAGATCGGTTCCTGAAATGTTTTAACAAGACTACAATCACACACAAATTTTATCACTTTTTTACTAATATTATAAATGTGAATGTTTATATGGATGGATGGATGTTTGTTTGAAGGTATCTGAAGATCGATTGCAAGGATCTCGCTGAAATTTGGCATACATATAGAACATAGTCTGGAAGAATACATAGTGTACTAGTTTTTTTTTTAATTCCACGCCTGTCATTATACAAATATTGTGGTTACTCAGATAAATAAATTACCTTAGAGACTAGTTAAAGCTGCTTGTGCTTTTTTTACTATAAAATGTAGAACAATATATGTATGAAAATACATACAGTAAGTAGAGCAGAGGTAGGTGTAATTTGTACACAATCATCGAGTAGTATACCGGCACCATCTTCATCTTCAGGCAGGAACTTGCTCAGGTGTTCATACAGCAGCTCCAATACAGCCTCGTGCAGTGCTGCCTTGTCTTTCACACATTCGTATAACTCTGCAAAATATCAGATAAACGAATCATACTAACATTATAAATGCGAATATTTGGATGGATGGATATTTGTTTGTAGGTATGTCCGGCTTAATAGATCTTGATGAAATGTGGTACAGATGTAGAATATAGTCTGGAAGAACACATAGGCTGCTTAATTTAATTTCGCACAAAGTAGCGGGCAACAGCTAGTAGCTTAAGCTTAAGTACTGACTCGACTGGCGATTTTACTTTGTTACAAAAAAAACTGATGATTGCCACTTTTTGAATGAAATTTTAATGACAATAATAGGTTTTTGTACAGTGAAAAGCACGAATACACAACCCTTCTTGTAAAAATACAAGTAAAATATGTGATTATACTAACCTGTGTAAAATAACTGTTTAACATTCGCATCTTGTACTAAACAACGGCGCAGTATTGACACCACCTCCATACACATCGCCTCGTTACGTATCCGTGACGTCACACTATCAACAAACAGAAACAATACAAATTAATAAATAAAAATAATTATTTAATTTCACCCAAATTAATACATAGTCAATTTAAAATGATACATATTTATCAAGAATCAAAGTCAATGGAATTAAAAAAAATATGATCTAAGCCAGATGTATAGGGGGGGGGGAGGCAGATAGGTAAAAATATTTTTTTTCCAAAAGTAACGCTTATTACTTAGGGAATGGAAGAAATGAAAAGCAATACTTGAGTTACCTATAGATAGTTTATGTATCTATTTTAAATTATTTCTATTCTGTAGGGGGGTGAGTTTCTCTCATTGATCCCCCCTCCACCCCGTTACTTACGCTCCGTTCTGCGTGGCGTGTACATCGACAGTGAGCTGGGTGAGATATGAGTGTGCGCTGAGCTGGTCTCCGGAGGCCTGGCTGGAGGTCAGCGTGGCCGACAGCTTGATGTGTCGCAGCACTGTCAGGAAGCCGCACACAGACAGACAGCGGTGCAGCGACTCCCTGCACATTACTGATGCTCACTTATGTTGATGACACCGATGTAAACTATCCTAACCTGAAACTTTCTCTTTTTAGGGTTCCGTACATTAAAAGGACTAAAACGGAATCCTTATAGGAATTTGTTGTCCGTCGGCCTGTCTGTCGAAGCCCTTTTTTCTTTTTTTAATTTTTTTCCTGCTGCGCAATCTTACTAATATTATAAATGCGAAGTTATCTTCAGAACGGTTGCATGGATCTCGCTGAAATTTGGCATAGATATAGAGCATAGTCTGGAAGAACACATAGGATACTAATTACGTTTTTTTTTAATTCAGCGCACGACATACGACAGCTAGTATTAAAAAATTAAGACACCATTTTGTACGTACGCAAATTTCACGTCAATGGAATTTTGCGTGCGTACAATTTTTTTTAAAATTAGATATGCAATTAAATATGTCTTTTATTATCAGATCCTCGTTAAAGTCACTCGATCTATACCTTGCGTATAATCCCTTGCGGCAGACCATCACCAGAGCATCTCTAACCCTGGTGCTGAAGCCGAGCAGCGGATGTACAGCGGCCAGCACCAGCGCCGCGCTCTCGTACTCCGTGCCCGATGGCTGGCAGTTCTCCAGGATCAGGTTCACCTGGGTGCATGGCTCCACCGACACAGGAGTTAATTTGCACAATATGTAGAAACATTCTGTAAATAAACATAATCTTACTAATATTATAAATGTGAATATTTAGATGGATGGGAGGATGTATTTTTGAAGGTATCTCTGGAACGACTTTATGGACGTAGAACATAGCCTGGAAGAGCACATAAGCAACTAATTATGTTTATTTTTAATTCCGCGCTCATGGAGTCGCGGGCAACAGCTAGTTACTTTAATAAGCGTATCGTTTTTTTTTTACGTCAACTTTCAAATTCGAAAAATAACTTTTGTATGACAATTCAATTATTAAAACAGGTGACAAACAATTTGATATCACGCCTTGACACTAAGAGCAAAGCAAAAAATAAAAACAAAAAAAAAACAAGAGGGATATTACAGATTAAAAATATGTCCACAAGGATATTAACTGACCGCTTAAGTTGGCATTACTGGGAGATATATACTCCTGACGTGTTACTCAAATGCTTTGTATACCAGACGGGAGCGTCGGTGGCTTAGAGGTTAAACACTTGACTTGTAATCTGTACCTCCTGGGTTCATCCCACCATGTATCAATGTGTTTTTCGATCTTCGATATACATATGTACATTTATCCGACATTCTTACGGTGAAGGAAAACATCGTGATGCAACCTGCACATATCTGAGAAGAAATTCAAATATATGTTGTGAAGTCAACCAACCCGCACTAGGCCAGCATGGTTGACTATGGCCTAGTCACCCTTAACTTAGGGTAGGCCCCGAGCCCCTTAGTGGGGACGTGTAATGAGCTACCAGACATAGTTGACAAAATCTTACCCGAGTACTGTCTCTGTGCGACATCACCACACAGTCTGTCAGCGAGCTGACTCAGTATATGTCCAGTGGTAGCCGGCTGGGTTTTACAGAGTCGTACCAGTATTAGTTTCCCGTGCGACCACAATACAGACGCTACTGGCCTGACACGAGACACGCCAAGTAGAGAGAATGCCAAATTTATTAAACCCAGTACAGTTAACTCTCGATGATTGGCACTGGAAATGTTAATATATACTTTATTTGGTAAAATTATTCAATTCACAGAAGTATTACTATATAATTCTGCTATTTACAAATAGAACTTCTGCATTTGGTATAGTAGTATTCAGATATCTTGTTGGCTTTTAAGTTCGGGCGAGTCGAGAAAACAATGTTAAGTTAGCTGGGCGTAGAGTTGCGAGAGGACGGAACTACGCAGCGCACCGTTGACCTTGAGCCGACAAGATATTTGAAAAGAACTATACAAATGTTTCATTGATGAAATGATGCTTTTTTACTAGATAATAACTACCCAAAGTTCTTTTACCTCTCAGTAGTAAGTACTTTAAGTACACTGACTACGTCGACATCTGGTGGTAACACAGATCGCACCCAAGCAGACTGTTTGCAACGCAACTCGTCCAGCGCACGCTGTTCTATTGCTGATTTTATTGCCTGTGAAGAAAATTTTAAAAAAAATCATGTAAGTAGTCATTGATAGATGAAACTAGAAAATTAAGACGAATTTTCTTTTCGTGTAATTTCATAATTAATAAACAACTTGTTAATCTTAGAAACTACTAGCTGTAGCCGGTGACTTCGTCTGCGCGGAATTAAACAAACTTAATAAATAGCTATTATAATAAATAATAGACTATAATCTACATATGTGCCAAATTTCATCAAGTTCTGAAACATTCCGGAGTTACCTTCAAACATCCATCCATCCAAACATTCACATTTATAATATTAGTAAGAGTAAGATAAATAGGATACTACATGAAAAAAGGAATTTAAACCCACTATAGTAAGCTATTATACGCTATTTATGTAACATTGTGTTAAGAACTGAACAAACCTTGCCCAAGCAAAATCAAATAACCGAAGAAAAATTTTAAGAACACTATAAAGAAGACTTACATCTAAGCATACAGATTTAAATTCAGCTCCCTTGTCCGACACTGCTAGAGCAATATCAATGAGGAAGGGAGCTCGCAACAGTTGAGTTTTTGGCCATGTCTTGATGTGTTTCTTTATCAGTTCATGTTCCGCAGCACCTTGTGTCATATGATAGATACATGTGGAGAGACAACTGCTTAATTCAGCTGGACTGTGTTGTGCTGAAATAGGTCATTTATTTTAGACAGACTGTTGCTATTAAAAACTTAATAATTAGACTATGTGGTCATCCAGACTATGTTATATCTGTGCCAAATTTCAACAAGCTTTGTTGAGCCGTTCCGGAGACAACTTCTAACAAACATCCATCTAAACTATCGTGTTTATAATATTATTAGTATATAATTACATGTAAAAAGAGCTCACAATACTGTATCTAGATTCTTTAATACAATTGACAAAGATAGAATTGGGAAATTATCAATGTACAGAGTTATTTAGTGTCTACTAAGGGAGACACTTAATGACTTAACGGTGAAGAAATATAAGTTTTTGTTTGTGTTTTGTATCCAACTATAAAAAGTAATATTACCTAAATCATCAATATCCATGGTTGTAGATTCAGAATCCTGTGGCGGAGGCTCCAGTTTACTATACAGATGTAAGTTAAAATAATGACTTAATTGCGCCAGCACTATTTCTAAGTTATATAACTTGCATAATCTGCAAATTTAAGAAATACAACTTTATATTATACTAGATGTCACCCGCGACTCCGTCTGCGGGAGATTAAAAAATAGATAGCAACCAATTCTGAGACCTACTGAATATGATTATGAAATTTTAAAAAATTGGTCCATACATTTCGGAGGAGTATGTTAATAAACATTGTGACATGAGGATTTTTCATATAAGATTTTTACAAATTGTCATTTCCTTTCATTCTCTTTGATAAAACATGCTAAAATATATGAACACATGTTTCATTGCAGTGACAATTCATAGTAATTCAAACAAAATCATACCTTACAAGTCGGTGAACTAGTGGTGGAAGTTCCGCAGGTGTTAAACCCATGATATGTGAACATATCTTATTTACAACTTGTTTATGATCATTTTTAGATAATTCAATCTCGCTAAATTGAGAAAAAAGAATTTTTTTTTAAATATTAAATAAGTAAATGTAACAATTTAAAGGCTTTATGCATAATATGCAACAAATGTTAAAGCAAGTACTTTAAGTATGTTACAAGTTAGGAATAAAGTAAAGAAAATGCCCTCTCTCTTTCTCTTTTCCGACATATAACGCCCATTACTGGGCAAAGGCAAAGATTGGTCATCTGCTACCTGTATCCATAGTACCCCACAACCTTGACCAGAATGCCCGACCCCACTGTATCAATCTCTCTGTAGGTGCCACTTCAGAACTTTGCAGCCCCATTGGCTGAAAATGGTTCTATATTCCTCAAAAATCACTTACTAAAATAGATTATTAATACTAACATGAACATAGATGTAAGTTGTACTAGCTGATGATCCTTCCATTTGCACTGACAAAGTGTGCGTATACACTGCTGTTTGTATTCAGCACCAGTCATATCAGTACCGCAGTGGTTTACATTGTTGTAACTTGATATTGTGTTCAGACATTCCGGTAGGATATCCTTCCATCTAAAAACATTTTGTGGTCTTAATATGGATATCCACATACAAAAAACATTGTTATTTCCATCAGTTACTTAATCTCCTAAGAAATCACAAAAGGGATGTAACTATTTCCATTACATGGGTTGATTATTATGATAATAATGAGAAAAATGACAAGGTTTCTGTACAAGTATTGTAGCAGCGGAAAACCATGACAACAATTTGTAGCATCCTATATATAGATTTAATGTTGTCATAATGATATAAATAATTTAAAATATTGCTATTAAACTCACATCATATTGGTATCACTGTCTTCAACAATAGATTGAATACAATCATCACACCATTTGACTAAATCTGTGAGATTGTGTCTTGGTAGTTCTGGCAGCACTCTACTCATAATATCACTGCTGTGAGTTAAGGAAGTTGTTTCTTTTCTCAGTGTATTTAGTACTACATCTATTATCTGTAAATATAGATATACACATAATTATATTGAAAAGAAATTCATTAAAAAATCATTGAACCTAATTGTCTGCGACTAATCTTATACCATGCCTTTCAGTTCATAACTTATATATTTTTAATGTAATTTAACTTAACACTATACTTACTTTAATTTTGTTATTACCCAAACGTTCATCAGATATTCCATTTAATATACAATCAAGGAGGCCAGCTCCATCGGAATTTAAAATCCGCCGCGGTAGAAAACTGATAATCTGGTGAATAGTTTACAAAAATTTTGAATTAGTACTTAATTATCCCTTACTTTAATTTTAAAGTTGAAATATTTCGTACATACCTGATCAATTTTTAATTTACAATATTCTCGCAATTCTTCACGTTTGCTGTTATTTTTGCCAAGTTCTATTATTTTAGCGAATGTTTTGATTCCGTCCATTGCTGAAATTATAAACATATAGAAACTAATGGTAATGAAAACAAGCTATGCTCAATAAATAAGCGAATCAACTTCAACTTTATGTTTTGAAAATTTCATAAGTACCCTACCAATTCTCTTTGAACGTGTTTATCGATTTGTTTTGGGTTTCGCCGCCAAAACAAATCGTAATGTCAAAACAAATTAATTTGTGCCGCAGATTAAAAAAAACGACTTCAACATTTCTATGGATTACAAAAATGTTAACCCAGTTATTTTTATAAGCGTTTTAGTCATTTCAGTCAGTTATTTTATATATTCTTTGGTTTTAGTTTTACCAGTCTTTCGAATAATCACTAGGAAAATTGTTCAGACCAATAAGAATGATTTTAATATTCCCAATGAACAAATAAATGAAGGAAGAAATAGGAAAAGGTAGGAAAGCATTTACCAAAGATTTAATCAAGAAAAGGCAAATCAAGTAATTTATTTATAAAATTTATTTTACTAATGAAAGGTACGTACAAAACTAATAAGCAGAAAGCAGATAAGCAAACCTGTAAGAAAAAACATGGTATCACCAAAGAGTATATAAAATAAGAGACGGGACTCTTGACTAATTAGATACACAAACGGAGAATAAAAATTGACATTTTCAATGCCAGCAATATTATGAACAAGTCTACGTTGCTACCAACCTAAAAAAATCAATCTGTCAATTTCCGTTTTGACGTTTGAAAGTATTATTCGAGGGAAAACAATTTTGGAAAAATAAAACAATTTCGTTAATTGCAACTTTATTTAATCTTCTGACTAAAGCGAACATATTTTAAGAACGAAACATAATGCTCATTGCTTTCGTAATAATACCATTATTGTTTAGTTCACCAACAAAATACCCCAACTTTGATAAATGCTTATTTGTTCCAGTTTGTTTATTTGATAGATCATATTTTCTGATAGAACTGGAGTAGTAGTGCCACTCTTGTCTTGAGAAAAAGAATAACACTGGAAAGAGATTAGCTCCTCTCTGTTGGTAAAATATTTAGAAAATTGCTAACAAGACAATATGCATTGAAGCAAAACAAATCGTCATCATCAAGCTCACTATACGGACACACTATACTCCACTGAGGAGCTCGGAGCCTACCCTCAAGAATGCGACTAGGTCTTATTCAACAATGCAGAGCCAGTGAGGGTTAGTTGACTTCGCACATATCTTTGAATTTCTATGCAGTTGTATGCAATTTGTAATTACAGTAAGAATGTCTGATGGATGTTATCATGAAATTCGAAGAACTCATTACTATATAGCGGAGATCGTACCTGGATATGTAAAATATGATCCGGTCAAGCGCCAACTGCACTGCCGACGCTCCAAATAGTCCCCTAATCCAAACTTTTCCTATCAAAACATTGCAAATGTACAAGTCATGTTAAATATTATGTACTGTAAAAATAGAATACAATATTTAAGTTTTACTTCTCAAATAAATTCATAAAATTATCATGAACCTAAAGATTCCGCATTTTAACTCTTTTGTTATTACTATTCTCCATAGATGTGTAACCTATAGATTCCTTAACGAGGAAAAATAATGAGCTTAGGAGGCATCATTTTAGGGAAAAGTACCTGTGTTGAAATTTAAATTACTTGTAAGAAAATTGTATACAATCTCTGTTTATTTTTTATTACTTAGTTCAAAAAAAGTATAAGATCTATAATAAGGTGTGACATTTGTAAAATCCAAATTTAATAAATTAATTTTGTTTCATATTTTTCACTAAATGGTTTTTTTTTATCTTTTGTACTTGATACTTAATTCCCTATATTTTAGTATATTTTTATTTTCTATACACTGCATTTCCCAATTTCGAGAAAATCTTATTATGTTAGTGTATATTTTATATTAAAGTCTAATACATATTTCTAAAAATTGTCATAATATTAACATCAAACTAATATAAAACACTAAATTATAATATAAATAATGTATAGGTTACACATCTACATATCAATAATGACATTAATATAGTTATTATGCTAGTGCATTTCCTGCAACATGGTGACTCTTTTTTAGATTTGCGGTTAAACTACTCTATATAATAAGTTATTTTTCAAAATTTAGTTTAGAATTACAATATTTTAAACAGTCAAACTTTGTAGCACAGATGTTGCAGCGACATGCAGTCAGCAATTCTGAAGCAGATTCCTTCATTTAATAATTCTGTAGAACTTGAAGAAGTGCAATCATTCATCTGCAACAGTATGAACATAATCAACATCAATTTAATTATTGCTTTTCACCTAATTACATACCTTATTAAAAAAAAAACTGGTTTTCTTTGATTATATAGATTTCTCCCCATTTACTTACAAAACTTCTTTGAAATTCAATTCTCTACAATGATGGAACTCACAAACCATGTAAAAATGATGATTAGTTTTTACAGGTACAGATTTTTTGGAACTTCTATTGCCTGCCCATTTTTGTGAAATGTCTATGATAGAATCATA